TTGTTGTTTGGCGGGTCCGGGCTGGGGATTCGAACCTGCCACCTTAGGTGTATGTGGCTGGCGCCTTAGCTGGTTGAGCTATAGGCGCCGAGCCCGAAATCTTTTAATATACTTGCTAACCCTTGTCATGGGGCCAGTGGACCCTTAGGAAGCATTTTCTTCTCTGTCTGTGAGACACACACACACAGACAGAAGTAGAAAGAGCGGTTTCCATGTGAACTACTTACTTAGCACTGGTAGCAGTTTCATTTTGAAGCACAAGACCTTGGATGCAGCCAGCGCTGGCCATGCTCTATCTTTGCCAAAGGACTATAATAAGGATGTTGAAGATAGGCAGTGCAGAGCTCACGTCTGTTAGAAATGTACTTTTTCTTTTCTCTTGGGCATATATTCCTATTTCAGATGTGCATATTTAACTTGTTAAAGTATATTAAATACTTTCATATTTTCTTTCAGTCTTTACAGAAAAGTACTGTACAGCGAACCATGTGGATAAACTCCCTGGCCCAAGAGACTGGGTGCAGATTCTACAGGATCAAATTAAACTGGCCAGAAGAAGGTTAAAAAGAGGCTCAGGTAGGAATAAGGTGCAAGCAATTATTGCAGAAGCATTCTATTGAGTTCTTAGACTCTATGAAGTACAATGCTTTGCTCTTGGGTATCTCAGTGTCTTTTGAAAGAGAAGCTCTATATAGTATCCTGTGGTTTGCTGTGTTCAAGTCTCATTCAAATGAATTTTGAAACTCTTCTTAAGACTAAAGAGTAAAAATTATGTCAGGCCACTTGGCTTTGAATAGTACAAGTGGAAAAGGTAGCTAATCTCATCTGCGGTCTGATGTGTCTGTGCATAAAAACTGAGCCCTCTTCTGTGGTTTGTTTCTATTTGATTGATTTTTGTTTGTTTGTATCTGCATGACTTTATAAAAGTACAGATTACTCAAGGTGAAAAATAATTATCAGAAACACCACATCAAACAGAAAGAGATTTTAAGTCGTGTGTGTGTGTGTGTGTGTGTTTATAAAATTCTGAAATCTGAGTCAGACAGGAGTGGTAGTTCAGGGGAGAGCTCTTTTATGCAGTGTGGGGGTTACAGTCAGTAACAATGTTCATTTGAAAATAGTTAAAAGAGTAGATTTTAAGTATTTTTTGTCACAAGAAAAGTGATAAGCATAGGAAGCAGTGCGTATGTTAATTATTTGTTTGGCCGTTTCATGACTATAATGCATATTTCAAACCATGTTGTACACCATAAATATGTGTAGTTTTTATTTGATGTTTGAAAAATATCAAACATCAAGACAGCTGGCATCTGAGCTTCTGAGGGTGGTGCGTGAGATAATTTGGGGGAAGGGCTTCAGCACTGAGCCATGTGTGTTCCAGATCTGATGAGGTCCCTGAGGTCAGCGCTAGGAAACCCGTGAGACAATGTCTCCACCTCGCTCCAGTCCGTGCTGCTGTGAGGGAATAACACAGGTCGGGTGATTTCTAATGAACAGAACTATGTAAGTTCACAGTGCTGGAGGTGGGAAGTCCAGGACTGAGGGTCGCATCTGCTTAGTGTGTCAGTCCCGTGGCAGAGGGCAAAGAGAGGGGGAGAAAAGGGCCTGGACTTGCCTTTGCAGTAGCAAACCCATCCTCACTGTAATGTGTGAATCTATTTGAGAGGGCAGACCCGTAACTTGGCCTACTCGCCTCTCATTAGGCCCCACCTGCTAATGTTGTTGCATTGGGGATTAAATTTCCCACTTGTGCTTTGGGGAGGAGGGCATACTAAGGCGGTAGCATTCCACTCCTGGCCCCCCAAATGTATGTCCTTGTCACATGCCAAATATATGCATTCCATCCCAATAGCCCCAAAGTTAAAACTTGTTCTAGCACCAACTGAAAAGTCTGGAGTCCCGTCTAACTCAGATATGGGCAGGACTCAAGGCACGATTTGTCCTGAGGCACACGCACGTTATCTACTTGGTGGGAAGGCTTCCCCAGGGAGCAGCAGGAAATTAGAAAGGAGTAGCAGGTCTCAAGTAAGTCTGAGACTCAACAGGGCAAACAGCAGTAAATCTTAAAGCTGGAGGAGACTCCTGTCCTGCCCTCTGGGCTCTCTGTGGTGGGGTTGGGCCACCAAGGCTTGGGGCAGCTCTGCCCTGTGGCTTTGCTGGACAGCAGCCCCTGCAGCTCCCCCTGCACCCAGCCAGGGAAGTGCAGTTTCAGGGTCATTCTTATGCACCTTCCCCGTGCTTCGTGTTTTGTACATAAGCACCTTTCTTTCCCTTCTCTTGTCCAATGCTGAGACCAGTTACGGTAAGTTCTGGTCTCTGTCCCTCTGCCGTCCCTCCAGCAGGCACACACGCACGCAGGAGGGATGAGCCTGCATCTTCCCTTCTCCTGCCTCTTCTCACAAGCACACTGGCCAGTGAGCACGTTCCTTAACCTCCTCCCCTTTCTATTCATGATTCACATCACAAGTGCTTGATTCTTCTCTATATTCACCTATTTCTATAGAATCGAAACCGTAGTCTCCTCCTCCCACCCCCTCAGATCAGAATATGACACAGGACATTCTAACTTCTGTTGCAGGGTTTTTTTGCCAAGGCTGGGTTTGAACCCGCCACCTCCAGTATATGGGGCCAGCACCCTACTCCTCAAGCCACAGGCACTGCCCCAGGCCATCCTAATTTCTGACTAGTAGATCAGATCATTTGCCTAGAAGTCTGTGATGGGCACCTGGGCCCTTCCCTTCAGCATTTCCAGCAGGTTCTATCTGCGAATGAGAAGCGGAAGGCACTTGTAAGACTAAACCAACCCTGACATGCAGGCCCAAGTGATTGCACGTCAGCCGTGACCTGCCAAATAGAGTTTGTCTCCCAGTTGTGTCAAATGCTTCGACGTGGTTCTCCCGGAGCAGCGCAGGCGTGGGCCCCTAGCACACTGAATCCAGAGCCACTTACGTTTCCCTAGTGATGCTGATAGGAACTGAGAGGTCTGGATCAATAACATGACTTGCGCTGGTGCTTTTTGTGCTTTTTGTCTTGATTATGTTCCGTCTAAATGATAACACAGACGGCAGCTCGTAGCTACTGCGCAACTTCAGCCTTATTTATCATAGTTGGCTCCAATCGTGGGACTAGGTGCAAACTCTCACTGGGCAAGCTCGTCACCCAGCAGGTTAGGGAAGTCTGCACTGCCCCGCACAGATCTGCAAGGCAGTTACCAGAAACTCATTTGGGGCTCTCATCACGTATAATAATTATTTTTTCTGTAACTGTAATGATTCCTGATTTCCTCAGAACTGAAATCATGATTTACTATTTGTGTTAGATCTCAGAGTAAAGATGTCACTGCTGTTACATTATTATTGGACTTAGTCTTTTCCAAATTTCACAAGTTGATTGTCACTAGGGAAGAAATATTGTGAGCTTGTTGTTACAGATAGATGTTATAATTAAATGTGAATTATTCTTTATCCATGTCTCTGGGCCTCTGTTCACACCGCTAGTATACACTAATTTATGGACAATATATGTGTGTAGTTGGTTATTTGTATTCCGTTCTTACTAAAGCACATAATTGCACAGTTCTATTTTTTTTTTTTTTTTTTTAGAGACAGAGTCTCATTTTATCGCTCCTGGTAGAGTGCCGTGGTGTCACAGCTCACAGCAACCTCCAACTCCTGGGCTTAGGCGATGCTCTTACCTCAGCCTCCCGAGTAGCTGGGACCCGTTCCTAACAATACCTGTGGTATGTCTGGACTAATGGCAAAGAGATTACGAGCCCAGACAGAACCAGTTACACTTGTTTGGCTTGAATATTTTTATGTGACTAAATGCTCACCTACAATATCATCTTTAGTGGTTTTTGATCTTCTTCACCCTAAGCTGGAATATTCCATCTCCTCTCAACAGCTCCTCTCTGTGGTGAATCTGGCAGGTCTGCAGACTGGGGGACCTTTCACTCATGCCACTCTGTACCCATCTGAGGACAGGATGTTAGGGAATGGACGAGAGGTGGGAATCTTTTGAGTAGTTTTAGCTGTATCTAAGCACCAATTGTATTTAAAGCAACAGGAATAAAAGAACATTGTATTAGCTTGCATTCTACCAGTCAGCACCAATGGCAGCCCTCATCGGACTGGCCTCACAAGGTGTCCCCACACACACATGTGCAGTCAGCAGGGGACTTTCATTGGGGCCCACTGACCCTGGGACATAGATAGCCCCACTAAAGTCATCCCAGTGGGGCAGAGAGACTAACAAAGCCATCACTTATCAGGAGGTGTATGGGGACCTTCTTTTTGGCATTTAACAGAAGAGGGTTTGTGACCGAAGGATGTACCTTTGCAAAAGATTGAAATACATATCAGACATAAACAAAGGTTTGCATTTTAAAGCAGAAATAGGGGCCAGGTGCGGTGGCTCACACCTGTAATCCGAGCGCTCTGGGAGGCCGAGGCAGGTGGATTGCTTCAGCTCAGGAGTTCAAGACCAGCCTGAGCAAGAGTGAGACCCCCCATCTCTAAAAAATAGCCAGGCACTGTGGTGGGCACCGGTAGTCCTAGCTACTTGGGAGGCCAAGGCAAGAGAATCACTTGAGCCCGAGTGTTTGAGGTTGCTGTAGCAGTGACACAATGACACTCTACCCAGGACGACAAAGTGAGGCTCTGTCTGAAAAAAAAAAAAGAAATGAAGACTCTCTGTTCCTTCTTCATGACTGAATTGATGCCAAAGTTAGATTGGCAGCTCTATGAGCTGAAGTTTCAGTCATCTCCAAAATGGTTCATTCTGAAGATTACCGTGGGCTGCCCCCCGGGAATGGCTCTGGGGATAACCAGTGCAGCTCTGCCTTAGAAGTTCACTGCGCTGAGTGCCTTCTGTGGCCACATTTAGACAATTCATCCCAGATGCCGCTTGGACATTTAAGCCTATGTAAATAAGTGAATATGAACTATAATCATCAATGATCAATAAAATAAGGTTCATAAGATTTTTGAAGTTTTTAATTGCTTAGAAGAATCACAAGCAGGGAAAAAAATTTTAATTTTTTTAAATAAAAATGCTTCCATACAGGAAAGTTGTTTTTATATCATTATCATCAACAACTATTTTATTTAAATATTGGTACTAAAATCTGTACTGTGAACCAACATTAGTACTGAAAGAGAGGGAAAAGGTGAGAACCGTTACGCACACTGGCGTTTTTTTAATTGTGTTACTGTTTTCAGTAAAATGAATGAGCTCCCTGGAACTAATGAGATTTGTGTTTTATATTTGTACCCAGCAGAGGCAGCTGATGGTGAGGAAAGACTGGACGGCATTTCCCTACCACCAACAGGTAAATAAAATGCATTTGCATTTTCATCACCCGCTGGAAATCACAGCACACACACAGACATTTGCATTGAAAATACTTTTAACACTAGGAACGCACATTCTGGGAGCAGGCTGCTCCTGCAGCAGCCCCAGAACCCGAGTATCCGAGGCTTCTCAAGGCCCCGTGTGCAGGGATATTTTTCACATTGAATGCAAAAAACATGAAAAGCTACGTTTTTCTCATCCTCTGTTTCATATTCAGCAAAGTCTCAGAAAAGCAAATCTTAGGAACTAAGTGTCACAACATTTCGCCTCTCCAAACCTTTGGACATTAGAAATCTTAATGTGAGGTTCGGCGCCTGTGGCTCAAGTGGCTAAGGCGCCAGCCACATACACCTAAGGTGGCGAGTTCAAATCCAGCCCAGGCCCGCCAAACAGCAATGATGGCTGCAACCAAAAAATGGCCAGGCGTTGTGGCAGGCGCCTGTGGTCCCAGCTACTTGGGAGGCGGAGGCAGGAGACTCTCTTGAGCCCAGGAGTTGGAGGTTGCTGTGAGCTGTGATGCCACGACACTCTACCCAGGGGGACAGCTTGAGGCTCTGTCTCAAAAAAAAAAAAAAAAAAAAAATCTTAATGTAAACTGAGATTTCACTTTAGAACAGGGATCGCCCATTTTGTGTGGTCAAATTCATCTACCCTGTCCTCTCCTAACCTCTTTCAAAAGGCCTTGGAGCCTCAAGCAGTTGGTCATGGGACTCAGTGAATACTGTTTTAACCAAGCCATGGAATGGCAAATAGTATTTTTAACCAAGCATGTACATCCAGCCGGCGAGGCAGGTTCCCAGTGTCGTGACCAGATCAGCCACGTGCAGCCTCACGATGAAGCGTTTGCCGCATGCTGCTGTGTTTAGCCATGGGTACAATTCTGACCTCCCATTACTTGACTTTCAAGTAATGCCCCTGATCCTGGCCTCCTGCCTGCGTACTGGCTCATATCTGAGAGCTGAGGGACAGGCGTCCGATCCATGAGCCACATATCAAGCAATTTAGTCCCTTAGTTGGTCTCAGGACTCTGTTGACTTCCCTCAATAGAATACCACAAAACCCAGACCCCCCAAGAAATCGCTAACCAAAAAAGCTCAACTCATGTTTTTTCCTCTAGATTTGGGGGTGGTAAGTTTTTAATTAAATCCAGCAAAGATTAGTGCAGTGTCCATTGGGCGTAGGAACTGCCCTAGCTCGTGTGTTCATTGATACCACATACCCCAAGATGGCAACAAAAGCCAGGTCTGTAGGTGCAGGTGGGCATGTGTTAGTGAAGTCCAGAGCGACAAGAGTCTCTGCGTGTGCGTGACACCTTGAGTAGCTAAGCAACAGATGGATGGACAATAAATGAAACGAGCCACATGGTACAAAAAGGACCTGCTTACTATACCAAGTTCTCACCATGTACAGTCAGTGTGTAAGAGGAATTTCTCTTCTTGTTTGTGAATTGAAATATGTGATCTCTGTTGTTCCTTCCCAATCTGTCATTCTCTGAGCATCAGGGCAACTCAGATCAGCCTTACTCTTATCACCCCGGCCCGGTCCCCTTAGGTGCATGAAAGACGGAGGATAAAATGAAAGTGTGTGGTCAGGGGGGCCCTGGAGGAGCATGGTGCTTTCTAGTTGTGCTTGCCGGGTCCCCCGGGTACCTCTGGGGTCTGCACTGCCTGTGCTCTCCGTGTCTAGTGACAGTGGGCCTTGTTTCACTGTTTGAAAGCCACTCTCCTTGATGTGATACCTTTGCATTCTCCTACGTGAACACAGAGGTGGAGAAGTTTCAGGGAGCACAGGGAATGCTAGAAGAGCCTTGGGAAACTGAAAAAAAAAAATTTCAAGGAATCCGAGACTGAGAAGGAACTTGAGAGATCCCCTAGCCCCATCCTTTCTTTTTATCCAGTCCTTTTATTTTACAGGAAAAAAGCCTGAGGCCCAGAAACACTAAATGACTTTCCCAAGGTCTCACAGCTGGTCAATGGCCTGGCCGGGGCCCAGCTCCCGCAGCACCCAGCCACGACACCCACCGCATAGCTCTCTCATACCTAGACCAAAGCCAGCTTTTCTCTGCATGTCTCTCAAAGATTCTGAGATGATGGACGTACTGATCCCTTTAGGGTTCCATTTCAGTGTCTCAGCCTTCACAGTTAGAATGTTCGTCGTCTAATCTGCCTGCATAAGCTCATTTATTCATTCGAGTCCTTTTTCAAAGTTTTCCCAAGGCTGGGAGGTCACGATGAAGGAAGCCGTAGACGGCAACTGCACGCCTTTTCTCTAGACTGCTCATAGATAGTTGACGAAAATTGCTAACCAGCATGATAAATAAAAATGTTTTGTCGTTCAGAAAAGGGGAGAAGTCACAGGTTGGTGCTGAAACTCTGCAGGAATAAAATTTAAAAATCTTGATAGTTTAGCCTGGCTCTTAATTGCCTCTCTACAGTAAAATCCCCTGTCTGGTTGGCTTCTTTGAATGTCCTGCGGCTGCTAACACCCATTCCTTACCTGTGCCCGAGTTAAGGCCATCCGGGTGGCGAATTCCTCTCTCTTGCACATGTAGCTTCATCCTTGAACTTGAACCTCACTAGTTCAAATTCCTGAAACACCTACAAAAGACCTTCATTATCTCATTTATCTGAGCTGGCAACAGTTCGTTCTTTTAAAGAGTCAACAGTGTCTTAATACTTTGTGAAGGCCATTTTCCCTTCCAAATCTGTATGTTACGAAAGGGCAGAGGAAGAGCTGTAAACCCCTAGGTTATTCTGTGACCAAGAAGTGGCCAGGGCAGGTTTACAGCCAGATGGTCAAATAACATGTGTTTTGATCCGTTAGATTTAAGCCACTTTCTATTGTTAACCTTTAGCAAAAATGCATATAGACTCTGTAGGGGAGAAACATGTTTTCTTCATTTATTTTCCCTCAACCCTATTCACTAAGCCTTTCTGAGCTGCCAGCAGGAGCCAGCGCTGTGTTGGGTTCTGGTGTCCACGTGCCCACCCTGGGACTAGCAGGACAGGCAGAAGCAGTTACATAAAAGCGGCAGCCAGATGTGCAGAGAGTGCCTGCCGGTGACCAGGAAAAGCCATGCAGGAACTGGGAGCAATTTGCATTTTGAAAGTGTAGAGAAAGTGAAATCGAAACAGTGCTGTCTAAAGTTTAAAACAGGGCTCCTGAATTTGAAATAAAGTGATGTTCATCTGAGCTTAGGAATTATTGCCACAAATTGCCATTCTTTACATACTTTTCTTTTTAAAAATTAATAAAGAAAAGTATACTGAATTGGAAAAAAAAAAGAGAGAGAGAGAAGTATAAGAACTAACATTTAAATTGATTTTGCCACTGGAGACAACTATTATTGGATTATTTTCCCCATACTTTTCTCCATATTTATTTTATTAAAATTTACACAATGGAGATCAAACTCAACAAAGTTTTGTTTCCCGAGTTTTTGTCTTTTACCTAACAAGCATTTTTCATTTTACGACAAGTCTTCATGCGCATTATTTTAATAGCTGCATGATAATTTATTTGGTGGGTGAATCGTATTTTATCTAGGCATTTTCTCTGACGGGACAATATATGGGCATACCTTGACAATAACACACATCTGTGGATTTTTTTTACAAAAAGTAATCGTTACAAATTTCTCTTCCTACAAGTAAAGCCTTGGCTACCAAGGGAGCAACTTAATTCTGAAACACAGGCATGTCCCAGCAGGTTCTTGCCTGTCTAGGGCACCCAGCTCCAGCCGCGTCCATGCCGTAGGCAGGTTCCTTAGAGAAGCGTCTCTCCCCCTTCATCTTCTTGTCTCTGTTGTAGGTAATATATTTGACACCAGGAGAGAAAACACAGAAGACTCAGAACCAGGTTTCACTGCCTAGACTTTTCACGTTAGTGACATTGTTCAGTAGCCTGTGTAACGCTCCCGTCTGAATCTCCTCAAAGATCCGTGTAGTGTTTCAGGTTCCTGCAAAGTGTGGGTGTTCTGTGACATTGACCTGTCACGTTTGAAAAGTTTCATATGCCTTGTTTGTAATATGTGATAATCAAGCCTCCACTTCGGTATCCAATTTTTAAAAATCATTTCTAGAGTTGATTGGTTACCCTTTTAAAAGTCCAACAGAAGACCCAGTGAGTTCATTGTTCATTATGAAGAAGAGGTTCTCTCTTCCCTATTTTTATTCAACACCGCAATGTGAATATATAGAGCCTTGAAGCATATTTATTGTAATGTAAATTGCTTGCTGTGGTATAAAGGAGCATGGCTCTTTTCCAGTGCCCAGAGAGCAGTCGTGAAGGCCAAAATTAATCACCCTTTCATCAGCTTAGAAGATGGAGAAGTTGTTTGGGGAGACAGGAGAGCTCTGACCTATTAGGTGACATTATTTATGACATCGCCCCCCACCCCCACCCCTCCCCACATAGCCATTTATAACTGAGTAAATGACATATGAATTTTTAGGAAAGACAAACCTTTCACCTAAGTTATAGCAACACAATGACAAATTATCTAATTAAAAGGGAAAAAAGTCAGAGTCATCAGTTACCCACGTGATATCTGACGACCATTTTAGCAGGTGCTTCTAACTGAGTGGTCCAGGGTTTTGGCATTGTGTGGTGACTGGCCACAGAGGTTCTGAATATTACATAGCTTATTTGGTTCCGAGTACACTTGTCCTCCTCTTTACGTAAAACCAATGTATGAAAGTCTGGATTTATTTTATATTTTATAACTTTGCCTTGTGGGTGGAAATGTGTTTTACAGAAATATTTATTCCAGATTTCTTTTTCTATAAGATGGTGAATTTCAAATACCACGTTATCTAGAAATACTGCACTTACACCTCATTTATTGTATAAAGCAAATCGCCTTGAATGCTTGACACTTGACCAAAGGCCAAAAGTTGGCATGAAAGAAATTTGGACGGTGGAGCCACCAGGCCCTGGGGTCAGGACTGCTGTGCCAGCCAGCAGTTTACCACCTTCCCCTGGCTCTGATGTTCTCGAACAGAATGTTAGAGATAAAAGTTACTGGAGAGGCCCTTCAGCTGGGGAAGCAGGGGCGGAGTGAGGACAAGTGGTGGCTTGGGGCCAGTTAACCCTACCCTGGCTTGTGGCCACCCTGGGTAGAGGCGGAATTTCCTTTCTACCCTGTCCAAGATGTCTTCTCACACGGAGAAAGGACACCTAGAGCTAGGAGTGTGCCTGGGGCAGATCAGTATTCCCTTCGACCAGCTAATCCACTGAAGAAGAGGTAAGGCGTCCCCACAAGGTGACAGAAACCCTGGTTCAGGGTATGGCTTGTGGAAACAGTCTTAACTGCTAGACAAGTTACATCCCGTCTGTTCGTGTGTCTCTTATTTCTCTCCTTTTTGAAGCCACAAGGAAGGTTCAGAGGAATTACTCTCATGCTGTCTTATAGTCAGCCTTGTCCATGTCTGGCCAATAAGTAACCTTCTCCTGAGACCAGTCCCACCGTTCCCTCCAGGGGCCTGATGAATTGGAAGTGCTTCAAACCAGGCCTTGTGCTGCTTTCCAGCCTAGGTTTTAAATTTGTCTTCAACCTCCCAGAAGGAAATATTTCCCTGGGGAATAGAAAAGATGAATTAGTGACCTTTCACTCCATTAAACTATGATGAATATGTTGCTGGTGAAGGTAAAAACATTTACTTCCAGCTGTGGGTCTGTTAAACGTGCACCACGAACCTTCCAAAGCACTTCCTTCCAAGGCTGGGCCACAGCTTGGAGTTCCCAATACTTGAGGGGTGAGAAGTGTCCAACTTGCAGATAACGTGCAGTGGATCCACAAATTGGAATTCCATATCAAAACCACAACAGTGAAATCACATTTTGTAAATCGAGATTGTATTCGTGTTTACTTACCATGACTACTGTTCAGACTTTATTCGGAAATCCTTTTTATAGGCTTTCTTAGCAAAAAATAAATAAATAAATTCCATTATCTATGGATAACGTCTCAATCTTCTGTATATATGTTTTATTAATGTGTAAATATTTAGATTTTTTTTAAATTACTATGTTCTTTAAAAAAGAATTGAGCGCAAGGCTAGTTGTGAAAATGGTGTATAACATTGTGTTGTGATATCAACTCCCAAGAGGCTCTTTACGTCCATTCTGGAAGAATACAATAAATTACTTTAATTGAACACACGTGTGTCTTGCCTGTGTGCCAGTCTTCCTGTGTTTATAAGACAAGTCCATGCTGTTTATTAGCTACGAGGTATTTATTAATACTCTGGTGATCTTCCACAGGAGTTACAGCTCCTTATGAAGTCAGTTTTTAAAAATGAAATTGCTGCCAAAATGTCTTCAAATGTTGGGAATTCGCAGGCTCTATCTGGCGGGTAGATCAATGGCCACAGCGAGTCCCTCAGAAACACTTGAGCGTTAAGTACTGAGATGCTCGAAGCCTAATTTTAAATGAATTAAGGTAGCTTTATAATCTTCACTTAAAAGGTTAAGCCCTGCTTCTATGGAAACGACACATCAGAAGGACCAAACCAATCTTCCCTGATGCAAAGTGGCTGCTGCAACATCATTGCTGTCTTCCCCTCTTTGAACACAGGGCGGCGCTGCACCCCACCGGCCCACCTGTCACCCGCTGGAATCCAGCTCCATCCGGTCTACAGTTCAGGGTCTGCCTCTGGGACCCTTGTGTTGGCTGCCATGAGGGGAGATGGGCATGGGCTGGGCAGGGGCTACAGGGTGAGCCCGCTCCAGTCTCCTTCCTGCCACCATGTCCCCTAGCTTTGTGGGCAGCCCCTGTGCCTTTGAAATTGCTTATAAGGGGCCCACATCATGCTGTCTGGATAGAGGCCACTGGTACGCCCTTGGCCCCACACATTGGCTGGGATCTGTGCCTTGCCGTGGGTAGGCTGGGGACAACTGAAAACCCTTCTGAATCCAATGGTGAAGGGACCCAATTTTGTCACTAGAGGCTTTTCTGAAAGGGGACACCAGCACACCTATCTCAGGTGTGAGCCCTAAGAAGTCACAGGGAACACAGGTGGCTCCTTCCCTGGCTTCCTCCACGCTCAGCTCCACCATTCCTTGGACACCAAGGGCCAGACATGTTGGTTCAGAGCGACCAGGGCTGGGATGGGAGGAGCAGAGGTCGAGAGTGAGCCCAGCTCCCAGACCTGTGTCATCCCAAGAGCTTAGAACCATGGGGTGACCTCCAGAGCATTCAAAGTAAAAGGTCTTGTTCAGATTCCTGTTTTGTACCCATCTGCCTGATGTCAGGAGTGCTCCCTACGAGGGGGAGGATGGGAGCCAGGAATCCCACCAAGAATCTCTTAAGATTAAAAGCCCCTGGCTCGGCGCCTATAGCTCAACCGGCTAAGGCGCCAGCCACGTACACCTAAGGTGGCGGGTTCGAATCCCCAGCCCGGACCCGCCAAAACAACAATGATGGCTGCAACCAAAAAATAGCCGGGCGTTGTGGCGGGCGCCTGTGGTCCCAGCTACTTGGGAGGCGGAGGCAGGAGACTCGCTTGAGCCCAGGAGTTGGAGGTTGCTGTGAGCTGTAATGCCACGGCACTCTACCCAGGGGGACAGCTTGAGGCTCTGTCTCAAAAAAAAAAAAAAAAAAAAGATTAAAAGCCCCCAGACCAGCAAAGTAGAGCCTGAGAAGAACTCAGCAGGACCTGGAGACTAGCTCAGGGCAGAGGAGGGAGGGGACGTCAAAGCTGATGGCTGGGTGTCATTTGTACTCATTAAGTTTAAGGAACACAAGGAGGGATCTGGAGGAAGAGGGCAGGTGAGCTCAGGTTCCGATGTTTTTGGCGAGCCTGTGCGGTTTTAGGGGCTGGGGGCACAGCGGTGAGCAGGGTGAAGTCCCTAGGGCTCTGCCACAGGAAAAGGGACAGAGGCAGAACTCCACAGGGAGTCCCCGCACACAGGCCTGTCGTTCCCTCACAGCCTGTCCAGACAGGAGACTTGTCCCAGACCACCAGCAGTCACCATCTGCAGTAGCATCTGTGTCTCCTAACTCGGGCGTCAGCTAAACTTTACCACCAAGAGGGACTCATCCAGCCTCCATCAAACCAGTCTTTAAAAAACTTTCATGTCCCTTACCACTCTCTAAAATTATCTTGCTTATTCATGTGTTTGATCATTATACGCTAGAATATAAGCCTCATGATATCAGAGGTCTTAACTGTGAAGCCCTGATGATTCTGGCCCCCCGTGAAGACACTTTCAGGATCCCCCTTCTCCCCGTTGCCAAGCAGGAGTGGCCTGGCGGAAAGTTTTACCCAAGGTATCCACTAATTCAAAGCACAAAGCCTGGTGGCCGGAGCACTCCCAGTTACAGAAGGTAACTCCCCATCTCCCATCAACCCAAACACTGAGCCAGGGATGTTCTGGAGTGGAGGAGCCGTCCACCCCTACCATGGCCGTAGGGCCCTACGGTGGCCGTATGGTGGAACAGAACAAGAACCTTAGACTGCGCTCTCCCCCCTTCCACATCCATAGTCTTAGGTCACGAAGATGTCCCTTTCCTCATGACACCCACCCACCACTCTTCATATGTGGCAGAGAAATCGTCTCAGCAGATTGGGATTGGCAGAGCTGCAGGCTGTGCTCCATGAGGATCTGGTGACACAAATGAGTCAGACCACCACTTTGCACGTACACAGATCTGTCATATTTTGCAACCTCAAATGCATGAAATTGGTCACCCTCCCCCCAAACAATATAGACGTGTATTTTGTGTACATGTATCTGTGAGTATTTATACATGTGTGTGTTTATTATTTATTTCCATTTTGTTACCAATGAAATTAAAAGAATGTTTAAAGGCGTCAAGGAAGGATCTAGAAGTGGAGCCCAGATGGGGCAGTGCCCAGTGTGCTTTACACACACTGACGCTCGGCTTGATACCCAACACCCTTTTCAATTGTTTTGTTTTTTGCCATTGTGAACTCTTCCCTGGGAACTGAAGGACACTCGAAACTGAAACTTTGAAACAGCTACTTCAGATCGGCCCTTTAAACACTTTGCAAGAATGAGGCTGACACAAGCCTGTTAAGTGGAAGAGTTGGTCAGAAACCAGCGTTCCTTTTTTTGGAGTCTCATTCTGCTGCCCCAGACTAGAGTGCTGTGGTGCCAGCCTAGCTCACAGCAACCTCACACTCCTGGGCTCAAGGGATCCTCCTGTCTCAACCTCCTGAGTAGCTAGGACTACAGGTGCCCACCACAATGCCCACCTAATGTTTCTATTTTTAGCAAAGATGGGGTCTCGCTCTTGCTCAGGCTGGTCTCGGACTCCTGAGCTCAAGCAATCCACACACCTCAGCCTCCCAGAGTGCCAGGATTGCCGGTGTGAGCCACCGTTCCCTGCCCCAAATCAGCCTTCCTGACTTCCAGTCTGAGTACCCTCCAGCATGATACTCGCAGATCCAGAAAGTGGAGGGCCCTCCATGTGAATGAGGAGTGAAAGTCAATTTTAAAGTGAAACAGAGCATCCTCAATTGTGCCATGAAGTGGCAGCCTAATCGCATATTCTGTTAGCGAAACAGCTTTCTGGTCTACTCTAGCAATGGAGGAAGAAAGTACGTTCCGACAGAGGGCCCTTACTCTGTGCGCTCTCGAATTAAGTATCCTCCAAAAGGGATGAATTTCTAACCACTAGACAGGGAAAGTCAGAATGACTCAGTTAACAGCACCCACACGAACCGCGCCCTCCCCTCGTGTAGAAAGAACACTGCAACCTTGCTCCCTCCTCCTGAGAACTATTTCAGTGGCTGGAACCCATCCCGTCCTCCGCTTCTGCCTCTCACAAATGCTCCCTAGCACATGGACCAGCAGCCAGGGGCAGCTATGACTCTTGCTAAGATTTTGGGTTTGTTTCCACGATTATGTCAGGTACTGTTCAAGTGTGTTTATCCTACTGGCCCCCAATAATGTCAGTGTTCCCTGGGAACAGTAATCACCGCCAGCCCTTCTTGGGCCTGGCCCCAGTGGGACTAGCTCACTAGTCAACAGTGCAGTGAACATATTCTAAATTTTGGACTGTCCCCTACACAGAAGTTGCTGGCCAGGCACCATGATCATGTTGTTTTGATAGCAGACAGGACAGCAGCAGAGGGCTTCAGAAAATGAATACACTGTCAAGACCAAGAAGGGACCCAGCGACTCTGATGGTGGGAATGAGGAGGTGGTGGAAGTTGACAAAATTAGAATCCATTTGAAAGATGGAATGCAAGAGAAAAGCCCCCCAAAAAGCTTTTAAAAACGTGAGACTTAGAAACTCAACTCCTCTTCTGCCACCCATAATTAAACGTATTATAAAACTACAGACACTGGCTCGGCACCTGTGGCTCAAGTGGCTAAGGCACCAGCCACATACTCCCAAGGTGGCGGGTTTGAATCCAGCCCGGGCCCACCAAACAACAATGACGGCTGCACCCAAAAAAAAAAAAAAAAAAAATAGCTGGGCATCGTGGCAGACGCCTGTGGTCCCAGCTACTTGGGAGGCTGAGGCAGGAGATTTGCATGAGCCCAGGAGTTGGAGGTTGCTGTAAGCTGTGATGCCACAGCACTCAACCCAGAGCTTGAGGCTCTGTCTCAAAAAAAAAATAAAAACTGCAGACACTGACGCTGTGGGGATGGTAAATAAATCAATAAAATAGAAGGGAAAGTTAGGAAGGACTTGCTTTGGCAGTACATCTACTGAGAGTGGAAGGATACAGAGAAGATGGGCATGGCATTGTGCAAGGATGACTCCCAAACCCAGGCAACTTAGTTAATAATAAGGTATCATTTTACTGAAATTTACTAAGAGAGTAGATCTTAATTATTCTCACTACAAGAGGAAAAAAGTAAGTCTGTGAAGTGATGGCTATGTTAATTAGCTTGATTGTGATAATCATTTCTCCATGTATATCAAAACATCATATTGTATGCCTTCAATATGTGTAATTTTATTTGTCAAAAAAAAGGAAAGGAGAAACTAATCTATATAAACATATATTAAAGGTGGTGTAATAATTAGCATTACATATTTGAGTTTGTATAACAAGACCCCCGAAATAAAGTGGCTCAAGTGAAATACTGATTTTTTTTCTTTCTCTAATTCATAACAGCCCCGAGGCTAGGTTAAGGCCCAGCTAGTTTTTCTGTTTTTAATAGAGATGAGGGACTCACTCTTGCTCAGGTTGATCTGGAACTCCTGAGTTCAAGGGATCCACCCACCTTGCCCTCCTGGAGTGCTGGGATTGCAGGTATGAGCCACAGTGCCCAGCCCCACAGAAACAGTTATACATGAATTGTCAGAGCAATGTAATTCGTGATAGCCAAAGGCTGGAAACAACTCAGTTGCCCACCCGTTGATGAATGAGCAGAGACCAGTGGGGTATATCCCAGCCCTGGAATATCATTCAGCAATAAAAAGCAATTAAGTATTGATACATGCTAACATGGGTGAACCTTGAAAAGATTATGCAAAGCAAAAGAAGACACACACAGAGACTGTCTATTCCATGATCCCATTTATAAGAACTGTCCCGAGTAGACAGATCCCTAGAGACAGCAATTTATGGCTACCAGGAGCTGGCAGAGAGCAACGCTGGGAGCGAGTGCTGATGGGGGCTGCATTTTTTTGTGGAATGATAAAAATGTTCTAAAATTAGTGGTGATGGTTGCACAACTCTGCAAATGCATTGAGTCCACTGAAGTATACACTTTAGAAGAGCAAGTTTTATGATATGTGAATTCTACCTCAATAAAGCTGTTCTAAAAATAGTAACATAGTTAAGCCTCCCCTGCCTTATTCTATATGTGGCCATTAATTCCAGATGTTGCAAGGATTTAAGTAAAATAAATAAGATAGTAAAAATACTAGGAAATTTTTAATTAATATTTATAGAAACTGGAAGAGAGGATTTTCTAAATACGATACCACAGGAAGAAATATGAAGTAAAAATTAATTCACTTTATTCACCAAAACTTTTAAGTCATATGTCAAGAATTTTATAAAATTAAACAGCAAATGAAAAAATAAGAAAAATATTTGCAGAATGAATTTTTTAAATGCTTTTTTTTTTTTTTTTTGGAGACAGAGCCTCAAGCTGTCGCCCTGGGTAGAGTGCTGTAGCATCACAGCTCATAGCAACCTCAACTTCTGAGCTTAAGCGATTCTCTTGCCTCAGCCTCCCAAGTAGCTGGGACTACAGGCACCCGCCACAACACCCAGCTGTTTTTTGGTTGTAGTTATCATTGTTGTTTGGCGGCCCAGGCTGGATTTGAACCTGCCAGCTCAGGTGTATGTGGCTGGCACCTTAGCCGCTTGAGCCACAGGCACTGAGCCTTTTAAAAATGCTTTTATACTTATTACATATCCAACTTATAAATCAAATGGTCAGGAAACATAAAATCCTAAAATTAGATTAAGAAATGCAAATTAGGGCAGTACCTATGGCTCAAAGGAGTAGGGCGCTGGCCCCATATACCAGAGGTAGTGGGTTTAAACCCAGCCCCAGTCAAAAAAAAAAGAAAGAAATGCGAATTAAAATAGCAATATGAAATATTTGGGATAGCCAGTTGACAAAACTTGAAACCTAACATCATAACATTTTTATAATGAAGGGAACTCTTGTACTCTACTGATGGGCATGTTAATTGTACAGTATTTCTGAAGGCACTTGAATAATACATTGAAAAGTGTTCAAATTACATAGCCTTTGACTCAGCAATTCCACTTGAAGGAATTTATCTTAAAGAAATAATATGGCCAGGCACAGTGGCTCACACCTGTAATCCTAGCATTCTGGGAGACCGAGGTGGGTGGATTGCCTGAGCTCAGAAGTTCGAGACCATCCTGAGCAAGAGTGAGACCTCCCATCTCTAAAACTAGCCGTGTGTGGTGGTAGGTGCCTGTATTCCCAACTGCTTGAGAGGCTTCCTTAAAAGGATCACTTGAGCCCAAGAATTTGAGGTTGCTGTAAGTTATGACACTGGCACTCTAGTCGGGACACAGAGTGAAACTCTAAAAAAAAAACAAAGGCTAGACACAGAGGCTTACACCTGTAATCCTAGCACTTGGGAGGCCGAGGCGGGTGGATTGCCTGAGCTCAGAAGTTCGAGACCATCCTGAGCAAGAGTGAGACCTCCCATCTCTAAAACTAGCCGTGTGTGGTGGTAGGTGCCTGTATTCCCAACTACTTGAGAGGCTTCCTTAAAAGGATCACTTGAGCCCAAGAATTTGAGGTTGCTGTAAGTTATGACACTGGCACTCTAGTCGGGACACAGAGTGAAACTCTAAAAAAAAAACAAAGGCTAGACACAGAGGCTTACACCTGTAATCCTAGCACTTGGGAGGCCGAGGCGGGTGGATTGCCTGAGCTCAAAAAAAAGAATAAAATGATGTTGTTAACAGTGGTTATCTTTCAGTGGTAGAATTGTATGTAGTATGTGACTTTTAAAACTTATTTAAAGTTTTCTAAAATGAACTTGTACCATGTTCTAAAAAATAAAAATAAAGGCACAGGAAGAAAAGCTTTATGTACGTGTAACACTCATTGCTTGGATCCCGGTTAGGAAAACCTGAAATACCTTGAACTATCTCAGGCTGCTGGCTTGTCCAGCATCATCCGAACTCCAGTGGAAACAGCTTTCACGTTCTCCTTACTCCAGTAATATGTGCTTCGGGCCTGTTTAGGGAACTCTGGAGGCTTTATACGTTACTTTGAAAGGGAAAATAATCATTCAGCACCTTAACAGGAAGAGGATATCCTCTCCCAGCTTGAAAGGAAACTGGAGACGTGCTTTATAAAAAATGTATTAGTTGCAAGCCGAGAAGAAACCCATCAGAGGTGCGAGTGTATCAGTTCAAAGAACAATACCATCCAGGCCTTCGGGATTTGGAAAGACTCCATAAGATAAATGAAACATGGGGTGAGTTGTTGTAACAAATAAGTCCAGGAACCTAACAGACTCAGGCCAGAATGATCCCCTCATAGGCTGCTTATTCATCTGTACAACTCTATGCTGACCTAACAGGTGACATACTTTGTGACCCACATGTAGCACCTAACTCTTCTCTGAACACTGCTAATGTATATTGGACACACAGGGCAGGCCAGGCCCTGTTCTAATGCTTCACTCCTAGGGTTGAACTCAGGTAATCCTCAAAACCATCCGAGGATGTAGAGACTGTGACTAGCCCCATTTAACAGATGGAAAAAGTGAGGCAATTATTCTATCTGTAAAGAGTCATAACCAACATTAGGACCAGCTGAGCATGACTCCAATTCCTTCATTCTTACCATCTGTTTTGCTTCTCAGGTAGCCTTCCTAGTGGACAGAAGCATCCAGAATGACCTCAGTGAGGGCCCAACCTGCATGATTCACTTTTTCAATGTTCTGTACACTTGAGCTTGCACAAAAACCTTGAACCAGAAGCCATAGCAGTGGCTTATTGAGTTTCTAATGAACCAGGCACTGTCATATGTATTTTACAGTCATTGCTTAATGACTACAAACAATTCGGAAAGTACTGTTATCATCATGCCCATTTTACAGGTGACAGAGAGCTCAAATAAATTGCCCAAAGTCACAGAGCTCAGACGCTGCAGAGCCCAGACCCAAGCCCAGGCATTGTGTTTGAGAGCCTGTGTACTTCAGAGAAATGTATTGGGTGCCGGTTACATGATTATATGTTTTAAGTGTGTTACTTGAATGAGCTCATTCAGAAAATCATACACACACACATATACTGAGAAGGGGGATGGGAAGTGATTATTGTCTTCAACCTGAGAACAGATTGTTTATTAAAATGTCTCCAAGGGGGCTCGGCGCCTATAGCTCAACCGGCTAAGGCGCCAGCCACGTACACCTAAGGTGGCGGGTTCGAATCCCCAGCCCGGACCCACCAAACAACAACGATGGCTGCAACCAAAAAATAGCCAGGCGTTGTGGCGGGCGCCTGTGGTCCCAGCTACTTGGGAGGCGGAGGCAGGAGACTCGCTTGAGCCCAGGAGTTGGAGGTTGCTGTGAGCTGTAATGCCACGGCACTCTACCCAGGGGGACAGCTTGAGGCTCTGTCTCAAAAAAAAAAAAAAAAATGTCTCCAAGGGAACGTGGCAAAGCGATCAGAATGGCCAGAGTTTAAAATACTGGCTCTACCATTTATTTATCTCTAGAACCCTTTCCCCCTTCATTTCCTCTTGCTCTCCCCTGTGCATCTTCCCACCAAAAGAATTGGAGGTGAGAGAGGGCTGGAATGGCAGTCTAGCTGTGCCCAGCATGCTGAAAGGCTCTGAAATCAACCAGAGCCCCCCATGTTAATTGGGAGACATTTGCCAAGTGTGGCGGGTCTGGGGGAGCCGGAAGGAAGGGATGACGCCCCAGAACAGTGGTCCTCAAAGCGGGACTCGGACTGCAGGTCCGCAACGTCAGCATCCCTGGAAATTGTTCGAAATGCAAATTCCTCAGCCCAGCCACTCAGAAGCTCTGGGTGTGTTTAATAAACAAGCCTTGCAGATGACCCTGATACACGTGAGAGCTTGGGAACCACAGCGCTGGAAGGTTTGGGAGACAGGACGGACACGCCCCAGCCTCAGAGCCGTGAGTGGACTCTGAACAACTTGCGACTTGGGTAATAATGTGGGACTTCTCTTCCTTAATGAGTAGGAGCAGATTTCAAAGTTTTTCCCCTGATAGCATCACCGCCCCTTACATTCTGGATAGAGAGACTTGGGTGGCATGACAGAGGCATCTGGAACAGCTGAACCCCTAGACGTGGCTCAAGCATG